TTGAGATAAATGAAAATGGAAATAAAATGTTTCAAAATCTTTGGGATTCAGTAAGAGCAGTTCTAAGAGGGAAGTTCACAGCAATACAGGCTAACCTAAAGAACAAAGAAAAATCTTAATCTAAGCCCACAGTTAGTAGAAAGAAATAAAGATCATAGCAGACATAAATGAAAGACTTAAAAAAATAATAGAAAAGAGCCATGAAACTAAAACCTGGTTCTTTGAAAAGATAGACAAAATTGATAAACTTTTAGCCAGACTCATCAAAAAAAGAGAAATTACAAGCAATACTTCAGATATAAAAAGGATAATACTATGAACGATTATATGCCAACAAATTAGACAACCTAGAAGAAATGGCTATATTCCTAGAAACATCCAATATTCCTAGACTGAATCAAGAAAAAATATAAAATCTGAATAGTCTGATTCTTAGTAACAAAATTGAATTAGTAATCAAAAAACTCCCAGTAAATTCCATATCCAGATGGCTTCATAGGTGAATTCCAGCGAACATTTAAAGAAGAGTTAATACCTTCCCTTCTTAAATATTCCAAAAAATTGAAGCGGAAGAAACACTTCCAAACTAATTTAACAAGGCCTGTATTACCCTAATACCAAAATCAGATGACACTACAAAAAACCCACAAAATTACACACTAAGATCTCTGATGAACATAGATGCAAGAATCCTCAATAACATATGAGCAAACCAAGTTCAACAACACACTAAAAAGATCACACAGTGTGACCAAGTGGGATTCATTCCAGGCATGCAAGGATGATTTATCACTCACAAATCAATGTGATACACTATATTAGCAAAATGAAGGATAAAAATATGATTATTAAAATAGACAAAAAGCACTTGACAAAATTCAACTCCATTTATGATTTAAAACTCTCAACAAAGTTTGTATAGAGGAAATATACTTCAACATAATAAAGGCCATATATGACAAATCCACAGCAAACATTATACTCAATGGTGAAAAGGTGAAAGCTTTTCCTCTTGATCAGGAACAAGACAAGGATGCCCACTGTCAACACTTTCATTCAATATGGTATTGGAAGTCCTAGCCATACCAATTAGACAAGAAATAAAAGGTATCCAAATTAGAATGGAGGAAGTAAAGCTTTCACTATTTGCAGTAGGGACATGATACTATATATAGAAAGTCCTGAAGACTCCACCAAAAAACTAAAGTTGCAGGATACAAAATTAATAGACAGATGTCTGTTGAATTTCTATACACTACTAATGAAGTAGCAGAAAGAGTAAATTAAGAAAAGAATCCCATTTACAATTGCATCAAAAAGAATAAAATACCTATGAATAAATTTAACCAAGGAAGTAAAAGACTTAGACTCTGAAAACTTTAAGAAACTGAGAGAAAGTGAAGACAACACAAATAAATGGAAAGATATACTATGCTCATGGAGTGGAAGAATACTGTTAAAATGTCCATACTACCCACAGCAGAACGCCAATGGCATTTTTCAAGAAACTAGGACAAATAATCCTAAAATTTGTATGGAACCACAAAAGACCCCAAATAGCCAAAGCCAATCTTAAGAAAGAAGAACAAAGCTGGAGTGTCATGATCTCTTATTTCAAACTATACTATAAAGCTATAGTAATCAGAACAGTATGGAATTGGCATGAAGACAGGCACATAGATCAACAGAACAGAATAGACAGCCTAGAAATAAGCCCACGCTTACATGGTCAGTTAACCTGTGACAAAGAAGGTAAGATCATACAGTGGTAAGACGACAGTCTCTTCAATAAGTAGTGTTGTGGACACTGGACAGCTACATGCAAAAGAAAGAAACTGGGCCACATTCTTACACCACATGCAAAAGTCAACTCAAAGTGGATTAAAGAATGCAGTGTGGGGCACCTGGGTGGCTCAGTCTGTTGGGTGTCTGACTTTTGATCTCAGCTCTGGTCTCGATCTCAGGGTCATGGGTTTGGGCCCTGTGTTGGGGTCCATGCTGGGTGAGGAGCCTACTTAATTAAAAAAGAAGAATGGAATGTAAGACCTGAAACCATAAGACTGCAAGAAAACATAGGTAGTAAGCTCTATGACGTCAGTCTTAGCAGTTTTTTCTGGTTGGGGAGGAATCTGTCTCCTCTGGCAAGAGCAACAAAAGCAAAATAAACAAATGGGACTACATCAAGCTAAAAAGCTTTCCCACAGCAAAGGAAACTATCAAGAAAAGGCAACCTACTAAATGGGAGAAGATACATGGAAATGATAATCTGATAAGGAGTTGATATCTAAAATATATAAAGAACTCCTAAAACTCAGTAATGGCAAAGAAAAACCAACCCAATTAAAAAATGGGCAGATGACCTGGATAGACATTTTTCCAAAGATATACAGATGGCCAAAAAACACATGAAAAGATGTTCAACAACATTCTTCATCAGGGAAATGCAAATCAAAACTACAAATGAGATACCACTTCACACCTGCCAGAATGGCTAGTATCAAAAATGTAAGAGTTAACAAGTATTGGTGAGGATGTGCAGAAAAAGGAACCCTCATGCACTGTTGTTGGGAATGTAAATTGATGTAGCTACTATGGAAAACAATAGGGAGGTTTCTCAAAAAATTACAAATAGAACTACCGTATGATCCAGCAATTCCACTTCTGGGGATTTATATGAAGAAAATGAGAAGACTAATTCAAGAACATATATGGACCTCTATGTTCATTGCAGCATTATTTATAATAGCCAGGATGTGGAAGCAACCTAAGTGTCCATCCATAGATGAATGGATAAAGATGTGGTGTGTGTATACATATACACACACACAATGGACTATTAACCATAGAAAAGAATGAAATCTTGCCATTTGTGACAACATGGATGGACCTAGATGATAGTATGCTAAGTCAGAGATTGACAAATACCATAAAATTTCACTTACATGTGGAATCAAGGAAAGAAAGAAACAGAAACACTCATAGAAACAGAACAAACTGGTGGTTGCCAGAGGGGAGGGGAGCAGATGAAATAGGTGAAGGGGATTTATAGATTTTACAACTTCCAGTTACAAAGTAAGTCATGGGGATGTAGTGTACAGCAGAGGGAATATAGTCAATAATATTGTAATAACTTCGTATGGTGACAGATGGTAACTAGATCTAAATGATCATTTTGTAATATATAAAAATATCAACTCATTATTGTATACCTGAAACTAATATAATATTGTATATCAGTTATAATCTAATAAAAAATAAGAGTTGATAGAAAACAAAAACCAAAAGCCTCAGCCTGGTAAAAAGAAGTATGAAAATAAAATCTCACAAGTAAGAAATAAATAATAAAGTCCAACGAACAAGTATAGGATTTCTTAGTTGCACATTGGAAACTGTAGTACCATGGAACACTACCTAGACTTCTTAGGGAAAAAGATAGCTACCACCTAAAAGTCTGAAATATCATTATGATGACATTTACCAATCAGGGTGAAGGAAAATTATTCATAGAGCTGCAAAATTTTATAGACTATTTCCCATGTGCCTCACCTATGGAAAATTCTTCAAAAAGGACTATTCAACTTCAAAATCAGGGAAGATGAAGAGAACAAATAGTAATGAGCAAAGACTCATGCAATGTATGTCTAAGTCTGAATAGATAATGATATAGTGACTAGGAATTGGTAATGTTGTAAATGCTAAATATTATTTCTTTAAAAAAAAAAAGCCTGTGTGACTAATAAAATATATGACTATAAAACAACCAGCTTTAGTGCCCAGAGTCTTACTTTTAACCAGATTCGCAGATTTATGTAAACGCCATGCTATCATGGGATGTCTGGCATTACAATTCCCAATCTAGTCCAACTCCTTCTATTTGCCCATTTGGATAATGACTTGGTTCCCTTCCTTGGTGCCAGATATTTACTATCAGTGATGTGTAGTGCCTGCAAATAAATAGGATTGTAAGAAAAGCACTTACTGGTTAGGTATAAACATTGAAAAAAGAGTCAGTAGCATTGGGATTGGAGGTGGTCTCCATACCAAGGTATGGGATAGATTAATCAGTGAATTTGAGGCAGTGACTTGATTATGATACACAAAAATTATAATTACTATTTGTGTATATGCCAAAGATTTAATTAGACGTGTTATATATGTTATTTCATATGATGCTTAGATAGCCTATAAAGACAGATTAGTATTATCCTGTTTTTCAAGTGAGGAAATTTAAGACTCAAAAGAGTAACCTGTTCAGGTCTCATAGCTAGTAATTGGGTCAGGTGACCTTTTTATGTTTTCCGTATTTCCCCCCATACAAGTATTAAAGATTTGAACTACTAGGTCTCATGCCTTTTGGGATTATACTCTGTGTTTGGAAATAACCTAACACAATCTCTTCACTAGCCTGAGCTTTCTACTAGGGGCAATGTGTAATTACGACATTCAGTGAACATCTGTGTACTAAATTTTGGGGGTTGTAGAGGGAGTTGAGGGGTAAGGTCTGGTGGAAGGGGACCTCAAACAGAACCATTAGAAAACAAAGCATTCATCTGTAAAGCGTTTGACTACTGAAGGCCTATGACAGCCTAAAATAGCACATACCATTGATGATGGGGATTAGGGATCAGAAACTTCATAATTGGACATGGAAAATATTTGACATTTTTAAGGGAATATTATTTGGTTTAATTGAAAAACAGGAAATCTCTCACGCTTTGTTTTTCCTTCTAAAATGTCATAGCTGAAAATATAAATAACTGCCAAGTCTTGAAAAAGACTCCTGGGTTCTCACTGACCATTTTAGGAAGGATCCAGAGTGAACATCGTAACATGATTTATTTGTAATTTCTTGTCATGGAAAATATAGGCAGTCGGTCATTTAAACCAACAAATCTGGTTTTGGTTTTTGGTTCACTATGTTAATAGAACCCAGACATTTGTTCATTTGCTATTTCCCATCTTTTGATCATACTGATTTTTATTTTATCTTTTATTTTCAGAAGGAGTTTTGGAACACCTACACAAAAGCACAACAAGGAGAGAGTAACAGAGGAAGTGACTGGTTTCAGTTTTACCTTACCTTTCCATTAATCTTTGGTCTCTTCATTATCCTTCTTGTCATTTTTCTAATTTGGAGATGCTTCCTCAGAAACAAAACTCGCAGACAGACAGTAACTGAAGGCCACATTCCTTTCCCACAGCACCTTAATATTATCACTCCGCCTCCCCCAGCAGAGGAAGTGTTTGATAGCAGTGGATTGTCACCAGGCTTTCTGGAATATGTAGTTGGGCGCTCCGATTCTGTCTCCACTCGCCTATCCAACTGTGATCCCCCACCCACCTATGAGGAAGCCACTGGCCAGGTGAACCTCCGGAGGAGTGAAACAGAACCTCATTTAGACCCACCCCCAGAGTATGAGGACATCATTAATTCCAACTCAGCCAGTGCCATTGCTATGGTGCCTGTGGTCACCACCATCAAATGAAACTGCAACCTTCTTTTTACTATAATCATTTTTAAAATACTAATGAAAGAACTTTCTAGCACTTTACCACTACATAAATGCGCATTGACTTATTTTATTGGACTCTGACAGCATACCACTTCACATTTTCTGATTTGATTTTCATTAGTTTTGTTTCCTACTATAAAATCATTATCCATGCTCATTATCTCTAATGGAAATATGTGAAGAGGGAAAAATCTTAGTAGAGGTCTTCACGTGATGTGATGAGATGTGTGTGTATCAGCCCAGTATACGTGCAAGTGTCTTAAAAAGCCATTAACTTCTGTCTAAATCACTTATAAAGAAAATATCACTCTCCAGAATTGGGGGTGGGGAGAGAGACCAACAATTTGTGTAACAGCCACATGCTGTTGAATTTTGAAAATAAGATGAACTTAGCATGTTTTCTAATTCTTACTGGATTTTGTTAACATCCCTTTTTCTTCAACTACCTTAAATAAATGCATGTATTCCATCTTGATTTTAGGAACGTCTCAGAAACAGAGATAGAAGGAAGGCAAAAATTATTTATTTATAGTGTATAGCAAGAATATCATTGGTCATTAGTGACATTTGGCTAATTTTGGAGGAAGGATTTTATTGTTGACTGCCTTTCTCCACCCCCTCACCCCCAAATTAAACAGTGTTTGCTTAGTGTCTTTGAATGTCTGATGCTATTTGTATTAACATCTTGGTAGAGAGGATTTCCTGGTAACATAATAGTTTCTAGAGTAGTTATATGTATTAATGACAGGGAATAGATACACATTTCTCCTTTGCTCATTTGTGAGAAAATTATTTTCTTTTTGCTGTTTTATTGCCTTTTACTCTACTGTCTCCTCCCTCTCCTACCGCCACAGAATCTATAAGAACCTAAGAATTTAGTTAAAATTCTTGAAATTATTTTCTTAAGTTTTTGTATAGACTGGAGTCTTTGCCTCAAGATGGTTAGGAGGCCTTTTTCCATTAAATTAAGAACTGTGATTTTATATTGCTCTTCAGTTGGTGGAGGAAAACTGCAAAGTCTATGTTGTGCCAGGTGCACAATAAATCTGTTACAGTTTTACATAGATCTCATTGTTGCTATTTCATTTTGTATTTTCATTTTTTTTTAAGTGCAGGATTTTTCTTTTCCCCTGGAGTAGAGGGAACAGGCTATGAATTAACTGCCAACATAAACTGACTCAGAAGTTGATGGAAAATTTATTATATTGGTCAGGGAAATGGCTGTGCCACTCCCAAGCCTCCTTAATGTTGGAGAAAATGGTTCATTGAGGCAGAAGGAACACAGGTTCTGGAAGCGTCAGCCATATCCTGCTGCCTCCATCTCCATCCCCACAGGCCCGTCCCCCAGTCCTGCCCTGGAACCCCAAAAAGGAGAAGTGCTGGCGGGAAACCCTGAACTAGGAGTCAGATGACCTGAATTCTCATCCTGTTCTGTAAAAAAGGTACTTGCCATGGTGCCCTGGGAAAGGCCCATATCTGCACCTCAGATTCCTTAACTCGGAAACGGATAATGTCATTTGGCCTGTCTCCAGGGGCTTTAAAAGGATCTAATGAGGTGGTGTGTTATGAAAGTAATTTGTAAGATGTGAAGAGCTGTCTACGTGTGATGTCATAGCATTGCTCTTACTGTGCTTAAGGGAGAATTTTCTCTGTTTCCCTAAAATTTATCAGAGCGTTCACATAGTGAGAAATAGAGTAGCCGCTCCATTAATGGCTAACATGCTCCTGACCTGAGTGTCTGGGCTATCTTATACTCCTGTCACTCGGCGGCCTATACAAGTGCTGTGCCAGTCCAACACACACAAACAGCACTGAGCAGATGTTGGAAAGGGAACCAAGATGTATATGTTAATAGGTTTTGTAGCTTTCATGAACTAAAAATTAATAAATCTTGACTCTGGTCTCAGTAGAAATGACTGTTATTTTGAATTTGTGAGCACATGGTGACTTTTGGCTTCTTACAGCTAAAAGTGGGAGTGTTTGATCCAGTGACTTCTGTGTGCATGCATGACTATTTTGGTTTATTTTTAAAGGAAAATTAAGGTTCCTTTTGTGTAGATTTTTTTTTTTTTTTGTCATTAACATTAGGCCTTAGATTAAACCAGCAGTTTTTAAACTGTGGCTGGCCCATAAACCCCTGGGAGTCCTTGAGAGCCTTTCAGGGCACCTGTGAGATCAAAACTATTTTCATAATAATACAAAGGCATTAGTTGTCTTTTCACTCCGTATCTCAAAAAGTAGTTGAAAATGTAAAATGATGCCATTTCCCACAAATCTTTTTTGTTTTAGGAAATACAGCTATTTTCTTAAACATGTTATTTATGTTAGCATGTAATAAACTTTAATTTTTGAATACTTAAAATTTTTTTCAGTTTTATTTTCTAATATGGCAAATATTGATGGATATAAACTATATAAACAAAAGCTCTTTAACATCCAGGTCTCTAATAAATTTTAAGGAGTGTAAACGGGTCTGGAAATCAAAAGTTTCAAAGGAGAAAGGAGCAGGATATTCTATTACTATGTATATATTCTTGCAACTTTATTTTATATTTTAAAGTCCTGATACTGGATTTAATGCTGCCTCTTAGAGATAGCTGCATTACAATATGAGAATGGATGTTGGTTCTTGAAGCAAAAGCCAAATGCTTAATCTCATCAATGGCTACAGCTTTTTCATCTGTTGGTCAAAGAAAACACACCACTCTGTAGTGATAACTGACACCAGCCATAGATCTCATGGCAGCATTCATGAGATAATGACAGGATAAACAACAATACCACTTTCTTCAAGAAACATCCTCTTAGGTTTGGTTTGTTTGATTCTGACTTAGTTTTACATTTTTCAAAACCCTTTTGCTGCCCCATCTGGTTTTATAAACTGAGTTTCTTAACATTTGTTATAATTAAAGGGGCTTGTCCGGAATAATATATATTTTTTATGCTTTTGCCTTTCTTACATGATGGATATTACATTCACCTTTGGTCATTTTTAGTAAAGGTTTATTTTTGCAGATATATTTAGTACCTTTCTTAAGCAGTAACTAAATTGAATCAACCAGTTTGCATTTAAATGAGACACTGGGCTTAATGGTCTTCCAGTGGAATGATTTCCAGGCCTCCACATGCAGTGGCTGTGTCTGGAATCCTAGAACTGGCACTTTGCCTTTCTGCTTGGAATTAATTATATTATCTGTTTAAAGTGAATTAAAGGATTTCTTTTTTTTTTATTGACCAGTACAAATACAAATGCTGTGTTTGATTCATTGTTAATGACTTCAAGATTGATGATCTGATACAATAACTTGGTTCTGTGTAAATAGCATGTATTTTATTACAATTCACATTTTTAAACACTTGGTTTACATTAAATTATGGTATTTAACTATTTTTATGTTTATACTAGGTAAGGTTTTTCTTATGTTTCTGTGTTTTTGGTATGCTAAATAAAGCTATTTTTAAACCCAAGAGATTTTTTTTCTGCCATGTATTATATTATGGTTAGGTAATAAACATGCGTCATAAGCTTTTATTATGGTCTTTTCAACAAGGGAAAAATCGTTTTTTTTCTTATCAATTTAAGAAATATTGCTCAGCAATCAGAAATTATCTGGTGAAAACTTCAGGGTGTTCTCAGCATAAGAAAGAATTTTCTGTACTAACTTTTTGAATGATGCTGGCATGATACAAAATGGGAACACTCACTCCAAAGGGACCTCCCTGCTGTAGTGTAGTTTGGCAAGTATAGAGTATAGTGTTGTCTGCAGATACCAAGGAGCTACTTTTTTCCCTCAACAGCTTGCATTTAACATTTGAGATGAGAAAGGAAAGCATAAGATGGAAACATTTATGACCACAGGACATCTTCCTTAGTCACCAGACTAGAAGGTGATGTGATGAGTCATTGACTAAGCAAATGTAAATATGACTTGATCTTTATGGTATAAAAATTAAAATGATTTACTTATAATCTAAACAATTCTCCTTGACTGTGAGTATCCATTTTGTAAGCATAAATCCCAGAGAGTTGTCCAAAACATCATAAAAAGATAATTTTTAAAAATATATAGCAAGTTCTAAAAATGATATAACTTGGATTTAAACATCCATGAAACCCAACACCTAGATCAAGATATTTCTAGTACCCCAGAAGGCTCCCTCACACACTTCTCCCTAAAGATAACACTATTCTCACATCTATCATAAGAGAGCAAGTTTTTAAATTTCATACTTAGCTTTAACCATAAGCCAAAAGACTCAACTCTTCTCCTTTTTTAAATTATTTCGGAAAACTTCAAGGTAGAAGTTCCAGAGCTGCCCATCCATCTCTTGGCTCTCCTTGAACCTACTCCTCCCTAAGCCTTTTCTACATACCTGAAGCTCTTTGACGTCAAGAATTATGTTTAATCCTTTTAACTCCCTCCCCACCAATACATCAAATACGTAAAAGTGAGGGCTTTTTTAAGTCTATGTATTGACCAAAAGAGCAGTAGTTTTCTGTCTTAATGCTTCTTTCTGCTGTAATTCTTATCACCTACCATTTCCTTAAACTTTGTATGATGACATTTTGTTCTCAGTAATTTTATCTACCTTTTTTTTTAAGCTTCAAAATCCCCTATAATCTGGTCTCACAGGCTTATCTAACCTTATTTCCTTACATAGCTAAGAATAGATATTTACAAAGTGCCTATTTTGTGTGAAGCTAAGGTGGTAAGAAAATAATGGTGCCTATAGACATCATCTCTGGGGATTTTGCAATCAGGTTAAGACTGGGATAAATTTTTAATATAATGTAACCCTAATTCCATTCCAGCTCAGAGATTCTTTTTGCCCAAAGTTCCATGGTATTTGCAACCAGGCATATTTATCATGCAGTCCTATATATTAGTCTATTTGTTGTTTTTATAAGTTTTTAGCAATGGAAGCTAACTTGCAAAAAAGTTCGTAGAACTGTAATCTACAGAATTATAGTGGTGGTTGACTACAGAAGTGGGAAGCTTGGAACCTCACCATCTGTGACCTTTTCTTGTCAATCCCCCTTACTTCAAGTCACTCCAAGTCACAGAAAACACGAACTTTATGAACATAATTAGACAACCACTGGACTATAACATCTATTGATGTCCAACTTCATAGCTCCTCATCTTTACACACACACACACACACACACACACACACACACACACACACACAATCTATAGAATCCCTTCCACCAACAGACTGCTTAGGGTTCAAAATGCTTTTAGTCCAGTTGCTAATTCGTAAGTATACTGCACTGGCCACTAACATACACTATCTATAAAAATGATGTTTGAAGAGAGAGCCATGGAATGTTAATAGTTCTGATTCTTTGTTTACATCACTTCAACATCACCATACTTTTTGCTACATTTTCAGTACTCAGTTGCATTTGTGGTTAATGATGGTTTTAATATATTCATAAATCATATTTAAAAATAAGCATACAGTGCTGTCAATGAAAACAGTATGGAGTAGGGAATTCCAAAAGCATGTCCTTCCACAAAAGCAGCAAATAAACTGGCAAAAACTGTCAGCATCAACTTCATCAGAGTTCTAGAAACTAATTACAGTTTATAGCAACCAGAGAAGAAAAAAAGCCTTTAACAGCCTCGCCTTATCCCTTGCTTCCCTTCTCAGTGACATCTTGGAAGACAACTGCCCACATTCTAGCCCTAAGTTCCTAGTACAAGAGGGAGGAAAATGGCCCTTATCATCAAAGAGCCGAGGTTGATTGTTTAGTCCTGTATTTTGGCTTCCTGAAGTACCAGCTCTAAGGCTTGCCTTTATTTTTTCTTACTGGGAACTCTCCCAAAATGGAGGCAACTACCTTGGGGGTGTTTTTCAAAAACGCTTGAAAGTAAATGCATTAGCTGCTACCACCTGGAAAGGATTAACACCTGAGATAAACAACAAACTGAAAAGCTTGGGAGGAAAGGCTGGGGAATAAAAAGAATAAGCACTTTGGGGAAAACTTCCACATAGGAATCTAGACAGCTAAACACACTTAAAGAGCTCAGGGAATGCTCCATAAAAAAAAAAAAAAAAAAAATCTGAGAGGCTCTAAACTCTCAACTTGGACCTTCAGATTCTCCAAAAGCAGAAAGTGAAGGTTATGGTAGAGTTGTATGTTGCCTGGCTGAAAGTTGAAGGTTTTCCCCAACACCCAAGAGAGCCCATCTGCTAAAAATAGGATACTTTTGAGGAGAGGGGACGCCAGGCATCTAACAAACTCTGTCAGATCACTAGCCGACCACCACAGTAACACAAGCAAGACCACACTGGTCACATGTGACAAAGAACACACACTACAAAATGAGTTAAACACGTCATTAAACCAACCAACACCTAAAACAGGCAGCAAAACTAACCCTGGAGACAAAGGAAAATTGGTTTTCCAGAGTTGCCGTTATATAATATTAATTCATAGCCCTATGCACTACTGAGAATAGTACCCATCCCTGAACATCTAGAAGCCTGACCAGAGAACCTAGGAAACCACAGAGCCTAGACTACAGCTTGCTTAGGAAGGAAACCAAGCCAGCAGTCCAAATGTTCTCAGCTAGGGGCATCCTCTGCCCCCATGCCAACCTCAGAGCTTGGGCAGTGGCCTCACCCAAAAATAGACCCTGACAGGAAGCCTCACCTACCCAAGGATGTTACCAGCAGACGTGTCCAGAAACCCACAACAAGTCTCAACAAATTCAAAAAGATCAAAGTCATACCATGCATCTTTTCTGACCACAATGCTATGAAATTAGAAATCAACCACAAGAAAAAGTCTGGAAAGAGCACAAATACGTGGAAATTAAATAATATGCTACTAGACAATGAATGGGTCAACCAAGAAATCAAAGGAAAAAAAATTAAAAAGTACATGGAAACAAATGAAAATGAAAATACAATGGTCCAAAATCTTTGGGGTGCAGCAAAAGTGATTCTAAGAGGGAAGTTTATAGCAATACAGGGCTACCTCAAGAAGGAAGAAAAATCTCTAATAAACGACCTAAACTTTCACCTAAAGGAGCTAGAAAAAGAACAAAGCCCCAAACTATCAGAAGGCAATAATAAGTATTAGAGCAAAGATAAATGACACAGAAACTAAAAAAACAAGAGATCAACAGAACCAGGGGCTGGTTCTTCAAATACACAAAATCAGAAATGAAAAAGGAGAAATAACAAGCAGCACCAAAGAAACAAAAGATTGTAAGAGAATATCATGACAAATTATACACCAACAAATTGGACAACCTAGAAGAAATGGATAAATTCCTAGAAAAATATAAAACTGAATCAAG